ATGGTCAGTAAATGAGTCAACCAACTTGAGAATTTTATAATTAGAACTGAAAGTTTATACCGTTATACTGAATAGAATCCCGATGGCTTAGCGGTAAGTATGAGGGCTCAAAAAAGTAAAAATTGGGTTTCGATACCCGCGGTGAGCAAAACACAGACAGCCCATTGTATAGCTTTGCTCTGAACAACAAAACAAAAACACTGAATAAAAGTATTGTAACAAGTTTTTATACCTCTGTCACAGTACAAGTGATAAAAAAAAGAATGAGAAAGTCTTTTGTTTTTGGTGGGCAGAAAATAAATGCATAAACTTTTGTTAGTACGGAACAGTTTGCAAAGTACACTTTGAGTTTGAAAGTTTAAATATCTGAACTTCTTACGCATAGAAATCTTGGCCCAATTTGACTCGGTAAAACCTATATTGTATTAATCAAAACATACATACATAATTAGTTTCAATATATAACAAGTGTATCAACCCATACTTGATGTTAAAAGCTAGCAAATGTTGTTTTAAAATGTGTCATAAACATACAATTTAAATCGCATACAAAATGACATGACAAAACTACCACCATCCATTTTGCAGGAACCTTGTAAAAATTGCACAAATTCGTGACATTAGATTAGCATACATTTGTTAATTCTGAGGAGCTTGCTAAGCAAGTTACTCGAATCTCATTCGAAGGAACAGACAAAAAACCTTCACCCAAATTGGCCAGGTTAAACCCTGTGTTTTATTAATTTTATATTAAATTTCAATATATAATAAATGTATAAAACCATTAACCAATGCCAACAAAGGAACGCTACAGCTAAACAACTTCACGATGTGCTAAGTTCCCGTGTCGTAGTGGGACGGCTGAAGCCACTCAATTTAATGCTAGGGTACTAGTGGCACTTATGGCTTAATTGTATTAAGTAAAAGCTAAGAATAAACAACTGGCTAACAAACTGTTGAATATTACTTACCTTTCAGCTGCCATTTTTGTTTCCTTTTGGCACAATAAAATCAAAATTCGAAAAACCGCATTCTTCACAAAAGTCAAGCTTCCACACAGAAATGATCACTCACCACTCTTATTGCAAACATCTCTCAACACGCCATCTTCTGTATTAACTGCTGAAGCCAAGAAATGTTGAACTATTGGCTCCTGCCATCTAGCGGGTTCTATATTTATTATTGTTTCCTCAAACAAAGAAAAATACACATGTATTTTAGCGCACGATAAGAGAATCAACGTTCTTTATAAAATATTATAAATTAATGAATACAAAATATTCTTTAAAAATTATATTACTCAATAATTTTATATGTAATTGTTAAATGCATTTATCTCTATTAAGAAAAATCTAACTTATTAATGTAAGGTCATTTCGTTTTAGTATTTAATGTATTATAATCCCAGTACTGTCATGCGATATGTTGAATCTAACATATTTAGATATTTATTTAAGTCAACAGAAGTAGACAGTCAGAAACGTAAACAATATGTTATTGACCTACTTTACCCATTCGGCTAAAGTATGCTTTCGTATCAAATAGTGAGCTAAAAAAGCAACAACAAAGATTTGAAATCAACACGCAAAAGTATATGTAAATTGTGATAGGTTCACTTGAACTTGTCTGCCAATTCCCTCTTACGCATCTCCAATCGATGATTAGAAAATCAAGTCAACACGGTAGTGTGTCGTGCGGCCAAAATAACCTACAGAACGCATTCTGCGTTAGAAGCAGAAATGATAGTTTAGTAATTTTCCACCTTCTGTAGCTCGGTCTGTGGTAATCCAAACTAACAAATATTTTCAGTGAATGTGCTCTACTGCACCCTTACTTCACATATCATATTTCAAGCCAATCCATTTAGAAATACACGAGATATAACATCTCCAATTTTGGTTGAGTTTCTTTTTTTTTTCTTCGCACCAAAAGTAAAAGTACAGAAACTTTATTTGATAGAAAAACATACTTAATTTCAAAGAATTTCTTTCAAATTTGATACACCGATAGATTTTTACAATCTACAATTAGGTGTCAAATTTGGTCTAAATATAAGCCACTTGTGCAAAGTTATTCAACAAAAATCGCTCAATTTTGACCAAGATTTTTGCGCATGCAAAGGTAAAAATTCACCTGAGCTATCAGTCTGAAAGTTTTTCTACAGCTTCACCTAAGAGTAAAAGTGGACCTTTTTAATTTTATGTGAATCAGGTTAAAGTTGGCTGACTTAGAGCTGCAAAACTATAGGGTGAAAAAACACATGCATATACATAAGTATTGGTTAGGCCAAGCAAACTAGATTAGCAGTTTTTTATTCAAATATTCAAAAGAACCATAGGAGTGGACGTTTATTATTGTTACGACAGTGGAAGTTACCTGAAGACGTTTCTGCACTCGATTGATAGATGATAAATGATTTCTCCAAAAATACAAGAAAATCCAATGTAAGCATGCTTTGCAGAATATTATGAGCACCACATTTTGTCTCTGCCGTGTTGCCATTCTCACTTAATTGCTCTAACAGTCCTAGCAATTCATCCAGTTTTTCTTGTACAACTTTTACTGCCTTTTTTCTTGCACTCCACCGTGTTTCTGATCCACGCTTGACAGAGATCTTAAGCTCCTGCTGCAGTTCGTCCCAACGAGTTGTTGAACGAGCAAAGAAATTATAAATGGCTTCAATTGTACCAAAAAAGGTAATAACTGTTGTTTCCTGACTTGCAGCATGAAGACATACTAAGTTCAAACTTTGGTTGTCACAGTTTATAAACACTGCTTTTGGATTTTTGTTCATAACTCTTTGTTGAACGCCCGACAGATGACCTGACATGACAGCGGCATTATCATAACATTGTGAACAACAATCACTCAATAATATTCCATCTGCTTCTAATTTTGTGCTTATTGTTTTCTCAATATTAGCAGCGTATTTTTCCTTTATCTGTATAAAGTCAATAAATGACTCTTTGACTTCTACTTTTCTTGTCTTAAAGTCAATGTAAACAAACATTGTCACTTGGGCCAATTGCTCACGATGGGCTAAATCAGGTGTGGAATCAAACAGAGTACCCTAGTATTTGTTTCTACGAATTGCTGACAAATAATAATTTTGCACATGTGAAGCCATGAGGTTTATGAACTCATTTTGGGTTTCAGAAGAAAGATAAGATGTTGATGCTTGCTTGTTTTTAACATGCTCTAAATGCTCTCTCATTAATGGATCATACTTTGCTAATAACTGCAAAAGTGGCAGTAAATTTCCAAGGTTTTCGTTTGAGGTTATGTCCTCAGTATGACCACGAAATGCAGGATTCCGAGAAGCTAAATATTGTGTACAATTCAGCAACTGTTGCAGTACATCTCTCCAGTTATTTTTTTCCTGCTGAATTTGCCTTTGCAGCTCTTCATCAATGCCACTTTGAAAACGAATTCGGCGCTCAGTTTATTTCTAAGCAGCAAATGACTCACGATGACAGTCACTACTTTCATGGGCATTTAACTTTTAAATTTTTTTTTTCACTTAGAGAATCCACCCTGTATTTTGAAAGCAGACCGTCTATCGGATGTAATACATGTAGATGAAAAAAGAAGACAACAAAAGCAGTATGCTGCTTTATATAGAGGTGAATACACCAACCAGGAACGATTGACCTCTTGTTCACTCAGAAGGCGTCATTTGAACCAAAATGCAGTCATAGAATGCCCATCTTTGGCATCAAATGGACCTTCTTTATGTTGAAATTCAAGTACTCCAACTTTAAAAATCCCTGTGTGATGTGCATATATTTACAACTGCTGAGCCTGTTGTATCAAACTTCATAAATCCAATATCCCTGTGTATTAAAATATTTATGAGGTCATCCTCTTTTAGCTTAGCAACACTATTCTGTGAATTTGTTTCTGACAAAGTGGAATCCTCTTGTTTGTTATTATTGTAGCTTTCAATAGGACAGAGAAAAGTTTCTTCATCGTTTATTTTTCAAATGAAATAGCATGTTCACAATCTTGCACCTTGACCTCTTTGCTGCCATCAAAAGGAACAGATGCTAGCTTACTGGTGTCATAACTTCCAGCAAGGAAAGCTCTCATCAATTTGCTTGACTCCACCATCGAAGCTACCAAATTGTGCACTTCTTTTGCGTCCCTGTGCCCCACTTTTTTTCGTACATAATGGGCTAAAAGAATAAATTAATAAATAC